GCATCAGAGCATTTTCTGGAGAAAGGGTTCATAGTTTATATATCTGCAGAGTCGATCCTGATACCCCAGTGTGGTACACACCAGTGGGAAGTGGTATAGAAATCCTAGACTGTGCTTCTCCAAGATTATTAGTATATAAAAATACAATTGATTTTTACTTATTCATCTTAGATATAGTGACATTGCTAAATTTACTGAATAATTTGAATATTTTTCCTATGGATTTTTTTGATTTTTGTAGGTACACAATCATGTTGTTTGAAAATAGTATAGCATTTTTTTTGTTGTAATCTTTTTCCTTTATTTTCTTTGTCTTATTATAGTTGCTAAGACCTTCAGTATAATGATAAATAGGCAGGGATGATAGGTGGCATTCTTGTCTTATTCCTTTTTCTGGTATTTTATCCTTAGTATGACGATTGCTATAGAGGTTTGTTGCTACTCTATCAAATTGAGTCCTGTTTTATACCTAGATTACTAATATTTTTTTGTGTGACTGAGTGTTTGGGTGTGGAATTTTATCAAATGCTTTTTCTGCATTTGTTTAGTTAATTATATATTTTCCTTCTCTATTCTGTTACAGCAAATTACATTGGTTTTCAAATGTTAATCAAACTTTTCATTTAGAAGTAAACCAAATTTGGATATAATTTGTTATCTCATATATCAATTGCTAATATTTTGTTTAAGATTTTTGCATCTATTGTCACAAAAAGAATGGAACTTTGATATTCATAGAATATTAGATAATTGTGGCGGACCTTTGAGAGAGTAAATTATAGGCTACTATAAGGTAAAATTCTTATGTTAGACTAGAGGTCTATGAAAAGTGGTGAATTAGCTCCTCTTTTTTAGTAAGACTTCATATCCTTTTTTTCTCTGTGTTTTTAAATTTTTATTTATTTGTTTACTGGTAAAGACTAGAAGCATTTAAATCTAGAGTGGTCTCTGATAAAGCTCTGAGTAACAATTTTGGAAGGTGGCTATGTTTCAACTTTGTAAAATTGACTTGTCAGTAGCTGGCTTATAGCTTTTAGTTTCTCTTTTTCTTTGTTTTGTTTTTAAGAGCAAAATACTAATACAGTTTGTAACATATTCTATTGTTTAGGCTTAGTTTTATTATTGTCAAATACTCTTACTTTTTAATGGCATCAACAATAAATACATTTTCAGAAACTAAAGAGCACCAAGAAACAAAGGTTCCAGAAGTTAACCAGAAACAATGGCATTCTAAGAGAAAGTCAGAATGCATGAACCAGAATCCTGCCACATCTTCAAATCAGTGGCAGATTCCGGAGATAACCCGAAAGGTTCATACAGAGGTAACTTTCTTTTCCACTAAATTACAACATGCTATTATTCATAATGCATTTCTGAAGTTTGATGATCATGTTCATGTTTTCTTTTATTAAATGTTTATATACTGTATTTAGTGGAATAATTTATTTAAAGACTTTTTTTCCCCTATCATTTACAAAATGATGTCTAGCAGTTATTGGTTCAATGAGAGTAAATGTCAGGCTAAATTCTTGTACGTTTTTGGAGTTTTATAGATTGCTGATAGACTGCTGCAGAAGTTGGCAAACTACAGCCTATGGGTCAAATCTATTTCCCAGCCTGATTGTGTAAATAAAGATTTGTTGGAATATAGCCACACCCATTCATTTGGTATCTATGGCTGCTTTTGCACTATAACAGTAGAGTTAAGCAGTTGCATTAGAGACCACTTGGCCTGCAAAGCTTAAAATGTTTACTATCTGGTCCTTTACAGAAAACTAGATGCTGATCCCTGAACTAATGCAATGCTGTCCCAAACATTTAACAATTTCCTATGGTCATACACATAGATAAAAATAGAAAAAGGATGGGAAACCTGTGGCCTTGGGCCACATGGGGCCTTCTGGATCCTTGGATGCATCCTCTTGACTGAATCCAAATTTTACAGAATAAAGGGATTTGTTCTGTGAAGTTTGGATTTGGTTGAGGGGCCACACTTGGGAAGCTGGAAGGCCACATGTGGCCTTGAGGCCAGTTTCGCCAATTTGTAATATGGTGAATGATCATACCCAGTGGCTATTTCAGAAGGAATGACCTAGTAGACTACTGGAGAGTCATACCTACAGTTCATGGTAATACTTTTCCTCACCATTTCTTTTCAATGCCTTATAGTGAAGACAGTAAAGGCCTTAGATTCTAATTCAGTGCTTCCCAAACATTTTGGTCTTGGGACTCCTTTACACTCTTAATTATCAATGCACCTAAAGAGCTGTTATTTATGTGGGTTATATTTATCTCTATTTACTATACTAGAAAGTAAAATAAAATTTTAAAATATTTATTGATTTATTAAAAATAAACTCATGAATATAAATACATTTTTATGAAAAATAAGTATTTTCTGAAACAAAATAATTATAGTAAGGAGAGTGGCATTGTTTTACAGTTTTTGCAAATCTCTTTAATAGTTGGCTTAACAGAAGACCAGATTCTTGTATTTGCTTTTGTATTTGATCTGTTTCATTATCACATGTCATACAGCAGTGGTCCCCAATCTTTTTGGTACCAGGGACGGGTTTAATGTAAGACAAAGACAGTTTTTCCACAGATGGTGGGTAGAGGGATGTAGGGGGAGGCAGAGCTTGGGTGGTGATGTGTGCCCCATTTCTAATAGGCCACAGACCAGTACTGGGCTGCAGCCTGGGGATTGGGTACCACAGATACAATCGCTGGAAACACCAATATAAACTAATGAGAAAATAAAAATGAGACAGGTACATGCTGCTTTAGTATTACTATGAAAATACTTTTGACCTCTCAGACCCCCTGAAAGGATCTTGGGAACACCACCTCCGCAGATTCCTGGACCACTGATTTAAGTAGTAGATGTAGATAACAAATGTTAGATGATAAGGATCCAGACAGTTGGAATCATATTAAATAAGCATCTCCTCTTTTTTTCTTTTTGGAACTTGTAAGCTAACAAGATGGTAAGGAAATTCAAAACCATTTGTGGATCATTAGGGAAATGCAAATCAAAACCAAAGCTAAATACCACTTCACACCCACTAGGATGGTTATAAATTAAAAGAGACGATAACAAGCACTGATGAGGATATGGAGAATTTTGGACCCTTCATACTTGGCTGGTGGGAATATAAAATAGTGGAGTCACTCTGGAAGACATTCTGGCAAATCCTTAAAAGTTTAAACATAGAGTTATCATATGACCCATCAATTCCACTCCCAGCTTATAGTCAAGAGAATTGAAAACATATCTACACAAATTTTGTACATGAATATTCATAGCAGCATTTTCATAATTGCCAAAAAATGGAATTAATAAAATATTCAACCATATAAATGGATAACAAAAGTGTGGTACATCCATACAATGGAATATTCAACAATATAAAAAGTAATGAAGTACTGGGACATGCCACAATATGTATGAACATTAAAAATATGCTAAGTGGAAGAAGCTCATAACAAAATATCATGTATTACATGATCTTATTTAAATAAAATGTTTAGAATAAGCAAATCCCATAGAGATGGAAGGTAGATTAGTGTTTCAGAGACTGGAGCAGTAGGGAATGAGGAGTGACTGCTAGTGGGTATGGGGTTTCTTTTAGGAGATGAAAATATTCTAAAATTGAATAGTGTTGATGGTTCACAACAGTGAATATACTAAAAATCATTGACTAGTGCATTTGGAAAAAAAAAGAAACTTAAAAGACTGAAATGTAGAAAGTAGAATAGATTTATCCATTGTGGTTCTTGAGAGCATAATGAGGACCAGTGTATTGCAATTATAATACAAAACTGACGTAATCTAAATATCTGCAATACTTTCTAATAACTAAAGCTGTCCCAAAATTGAAGTGCACCTTTGTGGACAGTAATGAGTGCTCAGTTACTACAAGTATTCAAGCAAAATGTGGCTCTGTGTTTGATTGAGATGTATGACAGCAGGCCTTAACAAACCTTCCATAAAGGGTAGTAGGCTTTGCAGGCTAGATGGTCTCTGTTGTAACTTTTCAATTCTGCCATTAGAGCATGAAAACAAAAACCATAGACTATAGGTAAGTAAACTGGCACAGCCACGTTCCAGTAAAACTTTGTTTAAAAAGTATATGACAGGCCAGTTTGAGCCTGAGCCTACAGACTATAACTTGCTGATCCTACTGTAGAGGATGTTCATTTATCATTGTTTGGGATTTGTGCAAGATCACTTCTGCAGATCTACATCTCTTCTCTACTTCTACATCTCTTCTAAGAAAGACTCAAGATAGGCATTTGGCATTCCAAATTTTGCTAAAAAATTAGTGTTTGGCTACATTTGGGGAGGAGGGAATGTAGTTTTATTGACTATAGAAAAGCTAATTTTCAGAAGCACAGAATACTATTTATTTTATTTATTATTTATTTATTTATTTATTTATTTATTTTATTTATTATTTATTATTATTGATTGATGATTGATTGATTGAGACAGAGTCTCACTTTGTTGCCCAGGCTAGAGTGAGTGCCCTGGCATCAGCCTGGCTCACAGAACCTCAAACTCCTGGGCTCAAGCGATCTCTCTGCCTCAGCTCCCAAGTAGCTGGGACTACAGCATGCGCCACCATGCCGGCTAATTTTTCTGTATATATATTAGTCTCGCTCTTGCTCAGGCTGGTTTCGAACTCCTGAGCTCAAGCTCTGCCGCCTCAGCCTCCCAGAGGGTAGGATTACAGGCGTGAGCCACCGCGCCCGGCAGAATACTATTTTAGATTATAAAAGTTTAATACCTGTTAAAAATATCTCTGATTGGGAGTGCGAGGGATGTTAGATTCCCTTTTGTTAATCAATTTTGTGTGCCTTCACTTTACTTGTAACTAATTTGAGCAGAATATACCAGGCTTAAGAGTTGGGAATAAAAGAACTATTCTAAAAAGTTATTGAAAGTCTGAAATACATAAACCAACCTGTTTTAGTATGCTTTTGTATTTCATAGTTTATTATTTTATTTTAAAAGTTATAATGTTTGTAAAACTCTTGAACAGATGACTAATTTAAAAACTCTAAATCATAGTATTTTTTATTTGTTTTAGCAGAAACATGCCGCTTTTGAGCAACCTGTTTTTTCAGTTTCAAAGCAGTCACCACCAATGTCAGCACATAAATGGTTTGATCCAAAATCTATTTGTAAGACACCAAGCAGCAATGATTTGGATGATTACATGAGCTGGTAATTACTTTTGGCACTTAGCTTGGGAGGCAAGGTGGTACAATAGAATTAACATGGACTTCTGGGCCACATAGTTCTGGGGTTGAATCCTGCTCTGTTACTTTAAAGACTTTTCCAAATTCATATTATTTTTTTCAGCATCAGTTTTTTTCATCTATAAAATGGAGAGGGGAAAATGGTTACAATAATATGTATTTTTAAGGATTGCTGTGAATATAGTCTTTGTCATATTGTAATCTATACCTACAACCTATAAATGCTCTAAGGATGCAAAACTTGCATTGCCACTTGGATACCTCTCTAATTGAGAGATATTTTAAAGGTTAGCATTGTTAGAGTGGATAAAGGATAGATAGATTTTTTTTAACTTAGGAGACATTAATTGGAATGTGATAGTTTCTGGAAGAGGTGAGTTGAATAGTTCATACAGCTCTGGGTGTGTTCAAGTCTCTGGGTGTAAGACTTGAATGGATAGAAATGAGGGATGAATAAAGAAATTGAATGGTCTGTGCTGATTAACAGGGAACACAAGGGATATTGCAAAAGCAAATGAATGACATTTCAAAGAGGGAAATAAAGGGATGTGTTATGTGTAACCTTCAATTAGTGGCTATCTTTTTACTATCTTAGGGGATAACTTAAGTCCATGATGCCTTTTGCTTTTCATTGCATAATATAATCTTTGTTTTTAATTAGAGCTAGTCTTAGAGATTTTATAACCCAGCCTCTTACCTATTTAATACAATTTTACTAGATATTGCCTAATTTTATTATATATAGAATATTTTAAAGAATGGTTGCTAACTAAAATAGTGATGTAGGTATTTCTTGTGATATTATTTATTGTTAACAAATATTTGTAGAACTCTTTTGTCCAAGCACTGTTCTAGGTATTAAGGATATTAGTAGCAAACAAGGCCAACAAAGCACAAATGTGTACTGAACAGATTTAAGCTCAAATGCCAAACTCTGATGTAAATGGCTTTCACATAGTTCTAGCAGGCCATTAGAAAACATTATTGTTAAAAAACACTCAAAAAATTTATGGTCAGCCATAAGCTGATCTTTGCCTTGTCTAAATTCTTATAAAATAATCCTAACTCCGTATTTTAAATGCCATCATATTTATTTTACTAACAAGTATTTCTTGTTTGGGTACAAAAAATTACTTTTGGAAAGAATTCCCAAAGTAAAATATCTGGTGGTAGAGTATCTAGAATAAATAAATATTAGCTATATTATGAAAACTAATGTGGGTTCTGTTTGATATAATAGCTTTAAATTTATATCAACCTTCTAAAACACATGAAAATTGCCTTAAAATCTTATTTTTCAAATTTTAATGTTTTAAATAAAAAAAATCTTTCCTAGTTTTAGAACTCCAGTTGTAAAGAATGACTTTCCACCTGCTTGTCAGTTGTCAACACCTTATAGCCAACTTGCCTATATCCAGCCGCAACAGCAAATACCTGTTACTCCACTTCAAAATTTACAGGTTTGATAAGCTTTATATATGATGGTATATATTAAGGTATAATCAGTTCATAGATTATATTTTTACAGCATCTAGATGTCGGAAAAGGTCTTAAGAACTTGTCCATTCCTATTCCCATTAGGCAGAATTTTTGTGATGTCATTAATTAGTATTGCCTTGTGACTTTGAGAAGTTAATTATTGAAGAAAGTAACGAAGTTGCTTTTATTAACTAGGCCAAAGGATCCAGTTTGAATAACTGAATAAAATTTCTTATAATCAGAGTTACTTTTTATTCTATGTAACTATTTTAAGTTGTTAGTGAGCAGCTTCATTTTGTTTGTTGATTAATAAATATACAGTTCATTTGGAAAAAGTAATTTTCAAGAATATAAGGATAGAAATATGAGGTACTACTAGAATATATTATAATTATTATAAACAGAGAAAAATTTTTTGCTAGTGAAGCAATTGCATTGCCATCTGAAAAAAATTAGTCTTCACACTAATAACTAAAATAAGTTTCTAATAACTATCTCGGAGGCAGCTTAATATTGGTAGAAAACATGGACCTTGGAGACAGACTGCCTGGGCATAAATTTTGGCCTCAATACTTATCAGCTCTGTGATCTTTTGAAAGTTACCTAAATTCTCTGTACCTATTTCATAACCTATAAAATTAATAAAGCTACCTACCTCATAGGATGTTTGTGAAGATTAAATTAGAGCATGGTAGTTAGGGAATAATAAATGTATGTTAGCAATTTTTATTTAAATAAAACAGCAAAATGTAATTATAAAAGTCAATTGATTAAAAAAATGAGTTGACAGAAAGTAGAACGGTGGTTATCAGGAGCTGAGGGGAGGAAGAAATGGGGAGGTATTTTTTTAATGGGTACAGAATTTCAGTATGCAATGATTAAAAAGTTCTGGAGATGGATGGATACTGATGATGTTTGCACAACAATGTGAAGGGACTTAATTGCCACTAATTACTACTTAAAAATGGCTAAAATGGTAAATTTTATGTCATATATATTTTGCCACAATTTAAAAGACTAATGGACAAAATAATTAGCTGACAATGGATTATACTAACTATGGAAAGAGGTGATAAAAATGTTTTGAGGATTGAAACAATATATAATAAATTAAAAAGGGAAAAGAGAAAGATGATCAAATTTGCCCGTACATTGATTCAAAACACATTTATTGAGCTATTGCTAGTGTCAGGCCCTGTTTGAGTCGAAATCTAGAAGGCGAGTCAGAAATGACAAGTGAAGGGGAATGGGGGAGCCTTCTAGGAGAGGCCAGTATCAGAGGGAACTGAAAAGAGGCCACAGTGTGGCTAGAACTCAGGAAGGGGAAGGGATGAACTCCAAGGTTCTGCTGGGCTCTTAAATTTTACCCTAAGAGTGATAGGAAACTGTGGACAAAGTTGAAGCAGGGAAGTGAAATTATCTGATTTGCATTTTGAAAACTCTAGCCACAGTGAGAAAGGTAGACTAAGGGAGATATAAGGTGTTCTATGTAGGAAACTGAACCTCACATTGGTGTTGAATCAGAAATAAGTTAGAATTATCTTATTCTAAAAACTATCAGGGAAAAAGGACATTAAACTGCTTTCTTCCCTCAGAAATGTTCACAGTGTAAGTACAAAAGAATAGAGAGAGGAGGCACGAAAAGGGGGGTGATGGGGACCTTGATAAAATTACAAAAGGTACATATCTTAAAGCCTAATACTTTCTTATAGGAAACACATTTCATGACTCAACAGTGTCTCCAACCCTAGAAGTTAAAGAAATTAGAATCTTTATCTTTTTATTTAAGATTACATGAAAAATTCCACCATTTCGAATCTAAAACAGGACTTAATTGAGTTTTATTCAGACCTTGTTTCAACTTGGTTAATCAGCTAATGAGCTGCTCTTTTTGTTTTAACTTCTTTATCAGCTCAGAATAAGTCTTCTCAGCACTCCATCTGTTCCAAGTGTTATAGGTACATAGAGAGATCCTCTAGCATACGGGTAGAGATGAAGGGGCAAGTTGTGTAGTACATCAGTTGAAAGTTTACTGGGAAAGATGCTAAAGTTCAGAGGAATTAAATAATTTGTTGAATATCACTCAGCACAAAGGGAGGAATGGCTGAAGCTTGCATTTATCTGATTGCCTTTGGAGCTCTTAGCACCTTACTGCATTGCTTCCTTTATAATATAATACTAAATTAGAAAAAAGAATATAGATATAATTGTATATGTATATATATGTAGGTAAGTAAAGAGGTATAAGAAAAAGATTATAAAGGAAACATGAAAACTGATAAAATGTTTATTTCTTTGATTAAAGTATGTAGAGCAAGTTTCCTTTTTCACATATTGTAATGTACGTAACTAAAAGTTAAGATAATTTCAATCCAGAAGCAGTTCACTGTACTAAATGTAAGCTAGTTTCTTAGGCATATTCTTTGAACCTTTCTTTATATATTTTAATTTTTTAGATTTCAGCATCATCAAAAAATGAATGCATTTCAGTTAAAGGAAGAATTTATTCCATATTAAAGCAGATAGGAAGTGGAGGTTCAAGTAAGGTAAGTATCTTAAGTATTTAAGAAGAAGTGAAGTGATTGGTTAGACCTTTTTTGTCTTTCCACCTCATGGGGGCTCTCATCTAGTCGTTAATAATACTGTTGAGCCAAAAAGGCCATCTCCTCCCCTGCCCTTCTCTTCCCATTAGCCTCCACACCACAAGTGACATATCCTCTTTTGACCTACCTTTTGCCCCCAGTCTCCTGCTTTCCGCCAGTGTCCTGTGCTTCTGAATTTCTTCTCTAATAACATTACTTTGACTTTGGGTGGGAAATGACCACTATGGTTAGCCTACTGATATATCTTTCTAAACTCGATCAAACATGTATAAATTGCTACTATGCTTAGAACTATTCTGCAAAGATTTTCACTAATGGATTTCACTAATGGATTTTCACATAAGATTTCACTAATGTTTTGAGTTTTTCATTCCAGAAATCAGTTTAATAACCAATAAGTTTCTGGAATTAGATTATTTTCTAAATTCATATGGTTCTAATTCTCTGTGGTTAGAAGGCATCTTAAGCATTATTCAAACTTGCCATCTTTCTATTCTCTTAAATCTACTTTGGTCATATTTTTGCCTTTATCACTCACCAAAACAATTATAATCAAGGTTGCCAATGATCTCTATATTTTGCCAAATTTAATTCTTAGCTTTGATTTGGGTAACTCAGCAACATTTGGGACAATTGATTATTTTTTCATACTGAATTTTTTGTTGTTTTCTACTTGGTCCCTCTGTTTTCCTCTTCTCAAACTGGCCTTTTCTATTACCTTCCTCACCTCCCTGATTTCAGTGCAGCAATGCCCCAGGGCATAGTCCTTAACCTCTTTAATTCTTTCCCTTAGATTCCCTCACTCTGGTGGTGTTCTTTTCTAGTCTCATAGTTTTAAATACCATGTATATGATACAAATTTCCAAACTTATATTTCTAGCTCAGACTTCTCCTTTGAATTTCAGACTTATATATCTAACTTGATTGTTCAGTATCTCTTCATGGTATCTACTATGCAATTAAAATGATATGTCCAAACACAACTCTTCCTCTGTAGTCTTTCCCATTTCAGTAATCGCCAACTTCATTCTTCCAATTGCTTGACCGAAAAATGGACTCTTCTTACTTTCATACATACAATCTAGCCAATCAGCAAATCTTGTTGGTTTCTCCTCAGAGTATCTCCAAAATCTGTTTCTCATCATCTCCAATATTATCACTTTGGTTGAAGCAACTATTGTATTTTTACCTGGATTATTACATTAGCCTCCTAATGAGTCTCATTGACTCAGTCCTTGGCCGCCTGTCTATTATTTTATTTTTTTTTATTTTTATTTTTTTTCCTTTTTTTTTTATTTCGGCATATTATGGGGGTACAGATTTTAAGGTTTCAATAAATGCCCATTTCCCCCTATTATTTTATTTTATATTGACAAATTTTAGTTGTATATTTTTATGGAGTACAAAGCAGTATTAGGATTTTTTAATTCAATGTGGAATGATTAAATTAAGCTTTAATTAACATTTTTCATCTCAAATATTTAACATTGTGACGAGAACATCAGAATTTCTTCTCAGAGTATTAGAATGTGCTGTATTCATTTATTAGCTATATTCAGCATGCTGTCCTATTGATCTCAAAAATCAAACCTATTCCTCTTATCTAACTGAGGTTTTGTACCCTTTGACAATCATCTCCCATTCCTCTCATCCCCCTGCCTCTGGTAACCACCATTCTACTCTCTGCTTCTATGAGTTAAATTGCTTTAGATTACACATAGAAGGGAATACATGCGGTGTCTGCCTGTCTGTGTTTGGCTGATTTCATTTCCTCATTAACACAACAGTTATTACTCCAGATAGCCTCATGTTTTTGCTCAGGTATCTGCTCAGTTAGGCTTCCTTGCCCACACTTTAAAACTACAATCCCTACCTTCCAGACATTAGTGTTCTCTATTCCCCTTTCCTGCTTTATTTTTCTATGTAGCTTACCTTCTAGCATGTTCTGTACTTTAGTTATTTGGTTTGTTGTTTGTGTCCCCCAATACTCGAATGTGAGCTCCTTGAAAATAGAGATATTTGTCTAATTTGATTGGAGAAGCTAGCTCCGATGTCTAGAATAGTACCTAGAACAGATAGGGACTGAATTCATTTGTTGAATAACCAAACTTCCTCCTTGGCTATTTTGCTATTATAAGTTGTTAAGGATGATGTACACTGTTGGGCTCATTTTACATGTTATTGTAATTTTCTAATCCGGATAATAATAACTAGACTTGCTTAAGGCTGTCTTGTTAACTTCTTAAAGATAAAGTATGTACATTACCTTGTGTATGTATCAAGTCTTCAATAAATATTATTTAATAGGCTTTTTTGTTTATATATATTTTTTGTTCTTTCCCTTGAATCAAAATTTAGGCATGGGAATAAAGGGACAGTATGGCTATTTTTATCAATTTGAATTACCTAATTTAATTGCTTTAATAGAAATTCTTTGGTTAATATTTATTATTTGGCTACATTTTAATTGTGTCAAGGTGTTAACAATTATGAAAGGTATTTATTTAGTCACATGTATCCAGAGAATGTAGAATAGTCTTAATGGTGTTTTAAACATTTTTTTCCTTGGAGTATAATGAAGTTGTAAGCTTAATTAAGTCAAGGTCCAAGTGGTAAAGCTATGACTGGCCCATCTTTTCTGAGTTCACTTAAACTATCATTTAATTTGATGATTATGATGGAGTTGAAAAAATCAACATGCCTCAGAGAAAAAGAGGGTAACATGTTTTGTAAAACTGCTGCCATTTATGTTCTGCCTATTCCAAAGTTGGGGTAGTGACCAACTTTTGCTGTATTAATTAAGAGCATGTAGAGCGGTCATGGGGCTAACAACAATGGTCAAGACACTAGCCTGTCTAGTTCTACTTTCATTAATTTTCCATTGAAACTGACAAATCATATTTCTGACACTGTCTCTGTGAAAATGAGGCCTACCTAATCTAGCTCACAGGTTATTGCAAGGGGAGTTTTGCCAGAACAGGGACAGGGGGAGAAAAATATAAACATACATGCAAAAAGTTAAAGTTTTCATTTGCTCAAAATTTTGAAATCTTATTATATAAATAGCTTTAATATACTGCAAGTCTATTTTCTGATATATCTGATAAGTTTAACATGTTTTAAAATGTCTGCTTTATTTTGACATGAATGTCTTTAATGATGATAGCTAACATTTGCTTCTCTCCAACATGCTGCAGAACACTGTAGACATTAATCATCTCAGTCATTCTTCCAACCCTATGCAGTAGGTACTACCAACAGCATTTAATATTTGAAAGATAAAGAAACTTAGCCCAAGGTTAGACTGCTCATAAGGGTAGAGCTGGAAATCAAATCAGATATTTCCTTCTATTAATAGTCTAAAGTTTTATATCTTATATTTTTGGGGTGTTGTTTTCTATAATCCTTAAATTTTATTTTTGTGATACAAAGCCATACCATTGCACAAATATACCACCTCATACATTATTAAACAGAGCATACAAATAAGATATAACTACCAGATTCAAAGTCATAGGTGTCAACATTGCACCACACAACAGTAGCTGCTGTAATTTCACTTAGATTTGTGAGCCTGTTTGCCTTATGCAAAGTGGCTTTATACTATTGTTTTTAAATTCTTTTTATCATTTTCATTGTTATTTTCTGCTGCCTCTTGCCCTATCATTGTTATATGCTGCATCCTCCTCTAATTTGCTGTATATCTAGGTAAAACCAGTAATACTTTGTTAGAGTTTTCTACTTAAAAATTAAAAGTAACTAACGTATACCTGAGGGCCTGATAGACTATACTTATTAGTGTAGTTTTTGCACATCAACATCGTATACACCTGGGCTCTTTTCTTATTACTTGCCAGCATCTACTGAATAGTCAAGGTTAATGAATTTTTACTTAAACATTTCAATGGGAAAAATGAATATCGTTTTTTTTGTGTTTACTAGTATTTTGTATTTGAATTCTGGGATTTTAGAAGCATCACCCCTATTTCCTATTTGCCAAAAATTAGAAACATTAGCAGTATTTTCTACTTTTCAAAATATTCTCTCTCCTGTCAGTATTACTTAGAAATTAACTGTCCATTATAGCCAGAACAATTGGACCTTAACCTCAGGGATCCTGGTTACAGGAACAACATGCTTACAAGGACATCTTGTTCTTACCAAGTTGACTTTGGAAATTGGATCAACTCTACTTTTCACAACTGAATATACTAGTAGCTTACAATTAATATATATATTTTAATATTCTTTATCACATGAATGAAACTTTCAACTCTAGGCATAATGAAAAAAACACCTTCTGTGAAATGAATTGATTGTTATAGCCTATAGTCATCCTTAAAAAAAATTATTTTTGAGACAGGGTCTCACTATTTTACTCAGGCTAGACTTGAACTCCTGGGCTCAAGCAATCTTGCCCCCTCAGCCTCCTTAGTAGCTTGAACTACAAGTGCACACCTAGCTTGTCCTTAACATTTTTTATTGTTTTTTACTCTATGCTATTTCCCTGGTTAAGGCATCCAACAAACTGTTATGAACATGTATGGATTTAAATTACTTTTTTTTATATGTTAATATCATAATAGAAACATTTTAGGTTTATACCTTTGAGTTATTGAGTGCTCATTGTATAGGTGGTTTGGAATGGACTACTATCAGGATTATTTTTTTTTCCCTTTATGTTCAGAATAGGCCCATAAATTTTTAGTTGTTCACATCAGCATTTCCTTCATAATTTTCTCAATCTAAAATTATCTAATAAATGTAGGTGCTTCTGGATAGTTAAACATGTAAAGGTTCCTAAAGGGTGGCCTGTCCAGAGAGGGCATGGAAGATCCATGCCCCTTCCTCATTGAAAAGAAAATTGTCTAATAAATTTTGAAGCATTGTGATAGTGTATAAATAGAGCATCCTAAACTTTTCTCTTTGTTCTAATATATAGGTATTTCAAGTGTTGAATGAAAAGAAACAGATTTATGCCATAAAATATGTGAACTTAGAAGAAGCAGATAACCAAACTATTGAAAGTTACCGGAATGAAATAGCTTATTTGAATAAACTACAGCAACACAGTGATAAGATCATCCGACTTTATGATTAGTAAGAATTCTTTTTAAATTTAAAAAGAAAACCTTTTCTACCATAATTTCTTCAGGTAAATACTTAGTAAATCTTAATTAATATAACCTAGTCATTTATTGTTTTATTGCTTTTATTTTTAATTGCAGTGAAATCACAGACCAGTACATCTATATGGTAATGGAGTGTGGAAATATTGATCTCAATAGTTGGCTTAAAAAGAAAAAATCTATTGATCCATGGGAACGCAAGAGTTACTGGAAAAATATGTTGGAAGCAGTTCACACAATCCATCAACATGGTATTTTTAAATCTCTTTATATATGTAAACTTAGAATATTTGTTAATAATGTCATCTAAGAGAAATACATCTATAATTTTAAGGCATTGATTATTGGCGTCTTTAACAAGATGAACTAAATAATTGAAAGTTTATTTAAAGATGAAGGAACAAAATAATTTCTTAAAATACTATTAACCCAGCTGGGTTTGCTGGCTCACACCTATAATCCTAGTACTTTGGAAAGCCAAGGTGGGAGGATTGCTTGAGGTCAGGAGTTTAAGACCAGCCTGAGTAAGAGCCAGACCCTATCTTTACTAAACATAGGAAAAATTATCCAGGCACAGTGACATATGCTGAGGCAGGAGGATCACTTGCACCCAGGAGTTTGAGGTTGCAGTCAGCTATGATGACACCTCTGCACTCTAGCCAGAGTGACAGAGTAAGAGTCTGTCTCTAAATAAATAAATAATCAGTCAATCAAATATACATAAAATACTCTTAAGCCAAAGAATTTAGGGCACAAACTCAAGCCTCATATCCATAATGCAAAATGTATTTTTCTCAGTATTAATGTAGTATGTAATCCTTATCTCCAAGTACTTGAATTGTAGCAGATCTGAGACTTTGGGATTCAGACATTCTAAAAATATGAATTGGTTTTACTTTTTTTACTGTTAAGCCTACCTTCTTGGTTGGGTTTTACTTGTACTTGTCCTTGATTGTTTTTAAGTCTTTTTTCTGCCTTATCCTATCCTTTTTTTTTGTTTTTAAATAACCATTAACCCCCCCCCCAAAAAAATAAAAAAAATAACCATTAACCTAGATAATTATAATTTATCTTCTTCTTATATCTCTCTGTAAGTTACAAGATAATTCACCTGTGATCAAGATCAGGGCTGTAGGGATGGAGGTCTCAGGAGCATTAGAGTCTTACCATCTGGCACTATAATTTATAATGCTCTCTAGTGAGGAGTGAATCATAGTGGTTAAGAGGATAGATTCTGAAGCCACACTGCCTGGCTTCAACTAATGATGCTGTCACTTAGGGCATGTGACCTTGAACATGTTACTTAAATTCTCATTGTCTTAGTTTCCTCACCTTAAAGTGGTAGCATGAGTAGTATTTATATCAGCATTGTTGTGAGGATTAGGTGATTCAATACTGTAGAAGCCATGTAACCTAGAACAGTTCCTGGCACATAATTAGTGCTATATATATTTGTAGAATATACAAAAATTAATATTTCATTGGATTTGCTACTTTAAGGAACCTACTTGACCTGTACATTGAGAAATTTTTTGTCCTTAGAATGTTTTACATGGTCTAATATTATAATGGATTTTTATTTTGAAGGCATTGTTCATAGTGATCTGAAACCTGCCAACTTTCTGATAGTTGATGGAATGCTAAAGCTAATTGATTTTGGGATTGCAAACCAAATGCAACCAGATACAACAAGTATTGTTAAAGATTCTCAGGTAAGACTTTTAAGAAATAGTTGGTTACCTCACAGTATAGTTCAATTTCTTTTCACCTATGTAGTATTATTTTGCTAATGGGTGTTATATTTTTACCTCTCATTCTTCAAAGGATTTGAAGTCTTTTAATAAAAATACACACTAAAAGTATAAAAAGTCAAAATCATGATTAATATAATTTAGAATAGAAAGTCAAGATCAGATAGAAATATTAACAGCAATTTCGAATGATTTTCCTATAGTTGAGGTAGAGAAACAGTAATATCTGCCATGGAAATCATTTTAGTCACGATCTAAAATTTACATGAAAATTTGGCTCAGAATTTCTTGATAACAAACAAAAGGGGAATTGAAGTTCTATGTTTTTCATTGTCCATGAGTTAAGATTATTTCTATTCTTCCAGGGAAGAAAAGCTTTCCCTATGAGTTAAATTTGTAAAAAAAAAATTTAAATGGCCCTTCATATTGGAAATGTCATAATAAATATTGTACTCAATGGCATTTTTATAATAGGATATGCAATAGTAAACTTAATGAAGTTGTCCCATAAAAGCTAAAGCAATGGCACCAACTATAACTGAAAGATAATCTTGGAGCCAAGATGATGTGTTCCATGTATACAGATTTCTGATGTGGATCTACCTTAATCTCAGGAGTAAAACTAGACTTTGTTAGGAGGAATAGATGGGCAGCATTCCCTTCAAACAATTCTATTTGACAATCATTTGTCAAAAGTGTAGTTGAACAGTGGCTTGTAAATCAGCTTAAAGTACCTTCTGTGGCAAGACCCTAAAGTATAGATATTCTGCATCTGAAAGCAGAACCGTTTTGTTTATTTGTTTTAGACAGGGTCTCACTTTGTCACCCAGACTGTAGTGCAGTGGTGTGATCACAGTTCATTGCTCCTGGGCTCAATCAATCCTTCTGGCTCAATCTCCCAAGTAGCTAGGACTACAGGTGCATGCTACTATGCCCACCAATTTTTTAAATTTTTTGTGGAACATAGTCTCACAATGTTTCCCAGGCTGATCTAGAACTCCTGGCCTTAAGTGATCCACCCACCTCAGCCTCCCAAGGTGCTGGGATTACAGGTGTGAGCCATTATGCCCAGCAGGAACCATTTATTTTAGAATTAAATGAGTGCGATGTAGGCTGGCATTAATCCTACCGTAGAAACTTAAGTGATTTATATGCCCATCCCATTTCAGTTTGGACTTGGGCCCAAGAAGTACTATGAGGCAAATAGATTTTTATATTAATATAATGTTGGTTGGCTAATTGGTTTATTTTTTTAAAAGGTTGAGTCTATCCAGCACAAAAGTGAATGATAATAAGGTTTCTTCCATTAATAGAATTTAGCCTGGACAGTTTAAAGGCAGAAATTCTAGTTGTCACTAATCATAGAAAAAGCACAGCATTCTGAATGGAGTCATTTTTTCTGATTATGAACCCAGTTCATTATGCTGACTTGTGATGAAATTTAATATAATTCTTAATATTGTTGGCAGTTATTTGAATTTTTTAAGCATATCACTGTAACCTGTAAAAATCTTTCCAACAGTCTAGCATTCATGTTTAAAAAATTAAAGCAGAATGAAATATTTTCTTTGATTGTGTTTCTCTGACTTGTCAATATAGGTTGGTACAGTTATTATATGCCACCAGAAGCAATCAAGGATATGTCTTCCTCAAGAGAGAACGGGAAATCCAAGTCAAAGGTACTATAAAGATTGTTTATATTCCATTTATCTGGCATCCATAGGGAATACACTGTTTTCTGAATAAACGTATTAGATAACTGAAGGTTATTTCTTCTTTAAGTTCTAAACCTTTTTAGGTCATTACAAAGACAATGCTATCTTTTTTTGTTTCCTCTCTGATTCTTACATGTATTTTCCACCATTTATTCATTTGTGAATTCTACATTTACAAGTATGTAATTTTTTCTGGCCTGCCACTGGCTACTTTTCCACTTACTTTATTTCACTGCCTCATTGAACTTTGTGTCAGCCTAATTGGTACTGCTTATCAGGGGCCCATTCTGCCTGCTATGATGCCTTGGGTTCCTTTATCCTTTATCCATATCAGGGTAACCAAGTGGATGCAAGCATACATTGTTGTCCCAGACACCTATATTCAAGTCATACATAGATCTGCCTCTTCATTAATTGTCTTTGCCAAGTGATTTAAATTGCCTATTTTCCTTATCTATAAATTGGGCTTATAAACAGTACCTATATTAAAAGACATTGAAAATTAAATTAGAATATAATAACACTAAGTACATTGTTCAGCTCAAAATCATTTCTTGCTAAATGTGATTTTATTTACTAAATTATATTTTCCTTCCTAGAAAATTGTGGCTTTTAAATATTTTTATCAAATAACTGGCATAAAATTTTGCCAAATATTCTCTTATAAAATTCTTTTTATATCTGTTTAGTCTCTACTTTTCTCCTAACTTAGATTGTCTTTTTTTCTTTTTTTTGATTAATTTGGCATGACTTTATTGCTCTTAATAAACCAATAAGAAAGAACCAAAAGAAAAGAACCAAGTCAATTTCATTTATCAATTCTATTTTCATTTGTTTTATAACTTCTGCTTTTCTCTTTATTAATTTCTTGTTTGTATTCTCTTTAGGTTTATTTTTTTCCTAGCATCTTGATTTAAATAACCAATTTAATTTTTAGTGGTATTAGTGTTTCCTTTTTTCTTTCTTTGTATTTGGTTTTATATGCCCATTTCTCCCCCTGCTCACACCCCCCACAGCTTTCTGTGTCAGGTTTATCCTTTGTGGAGTGCATATGGTTATGTTTTGTTTATAACCATTCTCATTTATTATGTCCACTGCTATGTTTAGTCTTATTCATATTCTTTTCAAAGTCTAAAGGATAATTTTATTATCATATTGCTTGGGTTATTTCTAATGAGATTTTCATGCAGTGAACATTTAATAAATATTTATTGAATACTTATTATAACCAGAAACTATCCTCTATGATTAACCGTATTCATGCTTATATCCTTTATTGCTTATGACAATGTACTTATTTCTATTTTAGAGAGGAGGAAACAAGACACAAAGAATTACCAGCTAGTGATTAGACCAGGATACAAGCCCAGCCCAGCCTGATTCTATAGTTTATGCTCTTTTGTTTAGAGTTATATAATTTAAATAAGCTTTTAAAAATGTATACATAGGCTGGGCGCGGTGGCTCACACCTCTAATCCTAGCACTCTGGGAATCTGAGGCGGGAGGATCGCTCAAGGTCAGGAGTTTGAAACCAGCCTGAGCAAGAGTGACACCCCGTCTCTACTAAAAATAGAAAGAAATTAGCTGGACAATTAAAAATATATAGAAAAATTAGCCAGGCATGATGGCACATGCCTGTAGTCCCGGCTACTCAGGAGGCTGAGTCAGGAGGATCCCTTGAGCCCAGGAGTTTGAGGTTGCTGTGAGCCAGGCTGATGCCACGGCACTCACTCTAGCCTGGGCAACAAAGTGAGACTCTGTCTCAAAAAAAAAAAAAAAAAAAAGTAAGGGAGATCAAGAAGGTCTTGAAGATGCATATGTATATTTATTAATAGCTATGTTATATTTCTTTTATAGAAAGATTGAGCTACATCTCATGATAGGTAATTCTTAAAGCCAAGCTTGGTGTTTAAAATTCTTTCTTATCTCCAATAGTTTATAAAATAATTTCTTAATTATAAGAAATTTCTTGTAATTTTCTCAATTATAAGAGCAAGAGAGATAAACTTATTTTTAGAATATGTTTAGATACCTTTATTAATCTGATAATATGCTGAACTAAAAATATTACAAAACAGATTTTTGTTTTTAATTTCAGACTTTATATGAGCACTATAGTGGTGGTGAAAGTCATGATTCTTCATCATCCAAGACTTTTGAAAAAAAATGGGAAAAAAAATAATTTGTGGCTACTCTTTAACTGTCAAATGACACCTGTAAAATATATTGAACTGTAAATGCTCTTGATTCCCTGTGGAAATCTGCTGTTGAAGACAACTTCATTCTGAAATATTATCAGCAAAAATATTCAGTAGATTATCCTCAAAAGAAAACTTTAAAAATAACAACCACTAATGACACTGTACATATTAAATTATAGAATTGGTTTTTCTGTTTTCTGTTTTCCTATAGATTTAATCTATTTGATATCATTTCACACTTGGAATAATAGGTGGACAACTGACATATTCTGAAGAACTTTGTAAATAAAGCTTTGTAGCATAAAATGACACTAAAATTTCAAAGTTGTAAAGTTATTTTATTCAAGGAAATGTATTATTGGCATGGCAGGAAAATTTTTAATAAATATTGGATAAAGGGAAGACTTGGGAGTGGACCTTAGTTAATGAACTTTAAAAAAAAACCCAAAAAGTTTGAACTCTAAAATAGATTTTCTAATTATTTATGGCATTAATATAGTCTATAGTTTTAGGGCTATACTTGGCTCTTTCAATTCTCCCTTTGTTCTTCATAGCATCTAATGTTTTTGGTATTTAGAGTATCATGTTGGATTCTGTAGTGAAAATTATATATAGCATGTCCTCACTGTCTGACCTGTGTGGCAACTGGTAATTATAAATTTGGCCCTGGAGTTACTGAGTCTAATAGTTTAGTTAAAAGTATCATCACATATGATTCTTTTCCCAAGTTTTTAAAAAAGATTTTAGTAGACTTTATTTTTCAAAGTAGTTTTAGGCTCACTGAAAAATTGAGCAGAAAATATAGAGAGTTCCCATATACGCGGCAGGTGAGCACTGTACGGCAGTGGTTAAGGAAGTTTCTATTTTGCTAAATAGCAAAGTAAATAAAATCACTCTTCTTTACTTGCTGTATTCATTTATACTTTTTTTAGCTAAGGGATTATGATTAGTGATAAATTACAAGAATGCCTGTTATTGTGCTATTAAACAAAATGTATATTTATAGTGGACTTTCTTATTGGTACCAGTATGTTATTGATTTATTTTATAGGTAACCAAATGGCTAAGGGAACCACTGAAGAAATGAAATATGTTCTGGGTCAACTTGTTGGTCTGAATTCTCCTAACTCCATTTTGAAAGCTGCTAAAGTAAGTAATTCTCTGTCTACTTTAATTTTAGCTGTTTTATATAGTGAGTTAGACACTTATAGAAATGGGTAATCCAAAGATAAGTTGGTCCAATCATCAGATCAATTATGAAGTTTGTTTTTACATTTAGATACTTCATGTGCGCTTTTTGACAAACAGGTTTATTTGATTTATATTGTTAATACAGCACAGTTCAAAGCAGATTGTCATATAAGGTGCATTTAGATTTCAACTGGAATAAATGTAATAGAATCTTTTAACTCAGCACCATTATTAACTTTTGAATGTATTCCTCTAGCCAGTTTTTTTCTTATGCCTTTTTAGACACATCACATGTAATGGCTTTTGTGAAGCTGAACATAGCAGTCAATAATAGTTCTCAAAGTACATGTCTCAAGCTTTTTAGCTTCCCATTACCTATTTATATCTATTGTGATTTTGGATTTCACTGTCATCAAACACCTAGTCACTTCTAGTACTCTGTGAATGCCTATTGACCAAACTGGTTTAGCTACCAGGCAGTTACTAATTATATATTTCAATTATAACATTATTCTAAAATCAGGGGAGCTTAAACTAATGTTGCTCTTAGCTCTCTGGGTAGGTGTAAAATCAGTCTACATTACCAATAACTTGGACACATTTCCAAAGGAATTTACTGTACATTCACTAAGTTTAATCTTAAAATCGACTGTATATTTTGCATTCCATATATAATATTAACCAAGCGTACAACTTTTATTTTATCTTAAATTTTCTTCCAAGTGCTGACTAGCTAAATTCAAAATGGCTTTGGCAACTAAAAGTCGGACAAAGTGTGTTTGGTAATATGCATTCTATATTCATTTACTCCATATCTCCAGATGTTTTAATTTATACCTAACATAATATCAATGTTCAAAGTCATAATTGTAATTCAATAAATGAGGTTAAATTATTATTTATTCACTGAAAACAATTATAATAAAGGTAAGTTAAAATCCTTGGCAAAAGACGAATCTGGGTCATCCTTAGATGTTGCGATACAGGCCTGCTAGAGGATGGCCTCTTTTTAAATCCATACAGCCTGGTAAATTTAATATCACCTAATATACTCCATTGTATAACAATGTTTTTGTGTCTTCTGTTTTATGGTTAAATACGTGAAATACATATTTTTACTAATGTGTTATTTAATATAGAATTTATGTGACTGTCTTTATTTAAGCATACAAAGTAAGGGAGATCAAGAAGGTCTTGAGATGCATATGTATATTTTATTATAGTAATTGTTATATTCTTTATTATAGAAAGATGAGCTACATCTCCATTGAAAGTAATTCCTAAGCCAAGCTTGGTGTAATAATTCTTTCTTATCTCCATAGTTTAGGTGAAAAGGGATAATTTTCCTCTAATTATGAAGACAGAGAACGGTTTCTTGTAATTCTTCATCAATTTATATGAGCGCAAGAGCAGATAACGTATTAATTTAGAATTCAAGTTTAGATACCTTTATTAAGAACGTTGATAATTCAAATGCCTGAACTAAAAATATTACAAAACAGATTTTTGTTTTTAATTTCAGACTTTATATGAGCACTATAGTGGTGGTGAAAGTCATGATTCTTCATCATCCAAGACTTTTGAAAAAAAATGGGAAAAAAAATAATTTGTGGCTACTCTTTAACTGTCAAATGACACCTGTAAAATATATTGAACTGTAAATGCTCTTGATTCCCTGTGGAAATCTGCTGTTGAAGACAACTTCATTCTGAAATATTATCAGCAAAAATATTCAGTAGATTATCCTCAAAAGAAAACTTTAAAAATAACAACCACTAATGACACTGTACATATTAAATTATAGAATTGGTTTTTCTGTTTTATGTTTTCCTATAGATTTAATCTATTTGATATCATTTCACACTTGGAATAATAGGTGGACAACTGACATATATTCTGAAGAACTTTGTAAATAAAGCTTTGTAGCATAAAATGACACTAAAATTTCAAAGTTGTAAAGTTATTTTATTCAAGCAAATGTATTATTGGCATGGCAGGAAAATTCTTAATAAATATTGGATAAAGGGAAGACTTGGGAGTGGACTATAGTTAATGAACTTTGAAAAAAAAAACCAAAAAGTTTGAACTCTAAAATAGATTTTCTAATTATTTATGGCATTAATATAGTCTATAGTTTTAGGGCTATACTTGGCTCTTTCAATTCTCCCTTTGTTCTTCATAGCATCTAATGTTTTTGGTATTTAGAGTATCATGTTGGATTCTGTGGTGAAAATTATATATAGCATGTCCTCACTGTCTGACCTGTGTGGCAACTGGTAATTATAAATTTGGCCCTGGAGTTACTGAGTCTAATAGCTTAGTTAAAAGTATCATCACATATGATTCTTTTCCCAAGTTTTTAAAAAAGATTTTAGTAGACTTTATTTTTTAAAGTAGTTTTAGGCTCACTGAAAAATTGAGCAGAAAATATAGAGAGTTCCCATATATCACCTACCCCCACACGCATACAACTTCCCTATCAGGGTACCCAACCTCAACTTCCCACAATGGTACATTTGTTACAGTCCATGAGCCTACATTAACACATCGTTATCACTCAAAGTCCACAGTTTACATTAGGGTTCACTTCTGGTGTATATCTATAACATGTATCTACCATTATAATATTACACAGAATAGTTTCACTGTCTTGAAAATCCTGTGTTTTGCTTATTCATCCCTCCCTCTCTTCTAATGCCTGGTAACCATTGATATTTTGTCTCCATAGTTTTGCGTTTTCCAGAATGTTATACAGGTGGAATCATACAATATGTAGCCTTTTCAGATTGGCTTCTTTCACAGTAATATGCATTTGAGATTCCTCCATTTCTTTTTATGGCTTGATAGCTCATTTCTTTTTAGCATTGATTAATATTTCATTGTCTGGATATACCGTAGTTTATCCATTTACCTGCTGAAAGATAACTTTGTTGCTACCAAGTTTTGGCAGTTATGAATAAATAAAGAAAGGGTCTTACCCTGTGACCCAAGCTGCTATAAATATCTGTACACAGGTTTTTGTGTGGATGTAAGTTTTCAACTCTTTTAGGTAACTACCAAGGAGTGTGAGTTTTTAGTTTTGTAAGACACTGCCAAACTGTCTTCCATAGTGGCTGTACCCTTTTGCATTTCACCAGCAATGAAAGAGAGTTACTTTTGCTCTACATCCTCACTAGCATTTGATGTCTGTGTTTTGGATTTTGTCCGTTCTAATAAGTGGGTAGTGGTATCTCTTTTTAATTTGCATTTCCCTAATGACATATGATACTGAGCATCTTTTCATTTTCTATATGCTCATTTGCCACCATGTTCTTTGGTCAGCTGTCTGTTCAGGTCTTTTGCCAACTTTAATCAAATGGTTCTTTTTCTCATTGTTACAGTTTAAAAGTTCTGCGTATTTTGAATAGCAGTCCTTTATCAGATGTGTCTTTTGCACATATTTTCTTTCAGTCTATGGCTTGCCTTCTCATTCTTTTGATTCCCAAATTTTTTACTGTGGTTATTAGTTTTCAGGGTCATTAGTTTAAAGTTAATGGAATAGATAACTAATAAGTTTAAACTGTAGTTCTGCAAATCTGCTCATGGAGAAGACATAAAAATCCAACCTGGAAGTCAGACAGTTTATCCACATGTGCCCTTTGATAATACTGCATATTTTTTTCTCTTTAAAATGATCTTTTTTGTTTTTTATTTTTTAATGTTCTTTCATCTTGCAAAAATCATCTTGAAATTTGTATATATAACATTTTTTTTTAATGCTTGTCATATTAAGAGTCAGAAATTTTAATGTTGGAAAAAGTGTTGTCAACTTGCAATAGTACCTGTGGACCTAGAATAAATAATTCAGTCTATAAATCTCACTATCGAAAGGCACCTATTTCCTTTGAAATTCAGCAAGTGAGGACTTTTATCTGGATTCACATATGCCCCAAGCATGTTTTCCATTGTAACTAGATTGAATCGGCTATATCCTAGCATTGTATAAGTTATAAAAGCCAGCTGAGGTATCCAAGTTAAGTGTGTCATCAATACTCTACTAATCTGATAGTCTTTTATAGTAAATAATCTCATATACACACTGATTTTAAGGAGTTAGTGTGTCCTAGTATTTGATAAGAAAAAATTTTATTGGCAATTTTTTGTTCCCCTTTATTGTGCCTAGGCTAAATAAAGGAATATATGAGGGTTTTTTGGGTGTTTAATTTTTTTTTTCCCTCTGAACCTGCTTAGAGTTTAATTAAATGCATTTTTATTTGGTAGTTATACAATGTCGCCAAAGGGAAGGAGCCCCGGAAAGGACTCAGCTCTAAGCATTCTGTGGAAAGCTTTGTGGGCCTGAGCAAGTTACTGAATATCTTTGAACCTTGGTCTCCTTTATTAGTAAAATTAGAAGGATGAACTAAATGATCTCCTAGGTCTCCTCTCAGTCTTAAGTCTATAAAATCCTATATAAAATGTAAATTTTTAGATGAGGAATAGTTAGGAAGAAAGGGGAAACAATTTTTATATCTATGAAATAATCACTTTTCTGTGTGAATCCAGAACTAAGAAGCTAAATATGGGGTTCTGAAGTTTTCTTGTATGAGAAATACTCAAAAGTACAGAAGAAAGGGGCCTTCTTTCCTCTCAGCTTTAGGCACATCCATAAGCCAAGCCTAGTTCCCACCATTCCTATATTCACTACTCTTCTCCACCTCCAAGGAGAAAGGCTATAGGAGTACTTGAATGCTCTGACCTCTTCCCCTTCTGTTCTGTCTGCTGGTTGAATGGAGCTGTGGCCAGAATGGGAGAAAGAATATGTGAGACTTAAGTGAGAATGTGCTGCTGTAAGCTAGGTTGGCTGTTTAATTTTGTTTTGAATTTTTTGGTTTTCTGTTTTGGCATCTGTTTAGTGGGGAGAGATTGTGGGTAAGAAAACCTAACACTGAGCATTTACTTAAAATTGGGTCAAGTGCTTAGAATACTGTAAACAGTAAACTCGTTCCAGTTTTCTAGGAGCTTTCTGCCTAACGGGAGATCTCCATCAATACTCATTCCCTTGGGCTCTTATCCTATCCCATGGTTTTAAAGACTATATGCTTGTGGATAATTCTCCTATTTATATCTCTAACCTAGACTTAACCTCTTGAACTCTGCACTTGCATTAATACATTCAACTGACTATCCAATCTCCACTTGTATGACTCAGCATATGCAAAATAAAATTGACCCTTGTCAAAAGCTGCTCCCCTCAAATTCTTCCTCATCTCAGCTGATGGCAATTCCATCCTTCCAGTTACTCAGGCCTAAGACCATGGAGTCATCCTTAACTCCTCACTTTTTCTTACAGCCCATAGCCAGTCCATCAGGAAATGTGTTGGCTCTATTTTTGAAATATATCTACAGTCTGACTATTTCTTGCCACCTCACTGCTGCCCACCTGTTCTGAGAATCATCTCACCTGGATTACTGTAACAGCCTCCTAACTGGTCTTGCATGTATCTTTTACCCATTATATAGTCAATTGTTAATGTGACAGCCAAAGTGACCCCTTTAAAATGTCATGGTCAGATCAGATCATTCCTCTTTTCAAAACCCTATGGTGGCTCTCAATTTCACTCTGACTAAAAGCCAGCATCTTTACAGTGGCTTACCAAGCCCAGATGTCAGTGGTCCCCAACCTTTTTGGCATCAGGGACCGTTTTCATGGAAGACAATTTTTCCACACACCAGGGAGAAGAGGCATGGTTTGGGGATGATTCAAGCACATTACGTTTATTGTGTACTTTGTTTCTATTATTACATTGTAATATATAGTGAAATAATTACATAACTCAGCATAGGTTGGGGACCCCTGCTTTGTGTGATCCTGTCTCCTGCAACTTCTCTAATTACCTACTCCTGCCCAGGTTCTCTCTGCTCAAGCCACACCAGCCTTGTTTTTTCTCAAACATGCAAGGCAGCTATCATCTTTGAGCCTTTACTCTTAGTTGTTTCCTACCCTCCTGGTATGCTCTTCCCTCACTTCCATCAAAATCTGCTCAGATAGCACCATTGCAAATAGGCCTATTCTGATAATCCTATTTAATAGTGCAACTTGCAGCACATACCCCCTGCATCCCTGATGCCCCTAACTCTACTTTTTTCCCCTCCAAAGTGCATATACCTTTGACATAATTTGAAAAATAAATTACAAGGAAGTTAATGATTTATTGTCTGTCTCCCCTTGTTAGTACGGAAGTTCCTCAAGGGCAGAGATTTCAATCTTTTGTTTAATACCTCAAACAATGTTGCCACATAATAGTTACCAATAAATACCTGTGGATAGAATGCATGAAAGGTTTTTTAATGTGGTGGAGTAACAGCTGTGAGAATTATGCACAAAGAGCAAGGGGAGTGAGGAGGGACCATGAAACTAGGTAGGAGGGTAAAGAACTTTGTAAGGCTGAGAGGCCTAAGCTGAATCTCAAAGGAGATCTAGGAGACAGTGTAAAGAAGAGAAAGGTATGTTACAGGAAGAACATTGCACAGATGAGCATGCAACAGTTTTGAGGGATGAGTAGCATGAGGGGGCAGTTATGAGAGATGAGCTTTAGAGGATAAAGACAATCAGATCACAAAACCTTTTGTGTACCAGGAGCATTGAACCAATGCTAGAGGCAGCTCCTTATAGGAAATCATTGAAGTATTTAAACTGGCCATAATGTGGAAGATAATTGAAAGTAGGAATCACAGTTAAAATGCTACTGCAGTAGTCAGGTAAGAAGCCACGTGGGCCTGCGCTGAGCCATGTCTGTGGGGACAGAGATGGGGTCACATTCAAGAGATATTTAGGAGGTGTCATAAAAAGGTGCAGATGGCCTATTGGATATATTGGGTGAAGGTTGAATTTCTGGGTTGGGTGATTAGGGAATGACAGTGTCCATAAATGATATAGGAATTAGAGGGGAAAAGTTTGGTTTTGGTTAAAGAGAATTTAGTTTCAGACATGGTACTCTTAAGATGTTGATGTGAGT